CCCCAAAACCCCAAAACCCCAAAACCCCAAAACCCCTAGGACTTTAAATTTTAAAAATAAAGCAAATTAATTATTTCCGTATTGAATAGAAAATTTAAAGTAGGAAATAATCAGAAGTAGTACATTTGATTTTAAAAGGGAGTACTTATCAGAGTAATTTTCATTTGAATTTTCATTTCAACTGAATAAAATCAGTTCTCCACTACTTACCAATGTCAATTCAATCACTTAGTAAATATTTTGATGTTCCTCCATTTAACAATCATCAAATTCGATGCGTTCTTTTAAGTGTTAGCACCACACATAAATAAGTGCTGGTCTTAGCCCGAATCAGTGGTTTTATATACGTTAATACCATCCAGGAACAGTAGAATCTTGCGTGTTGAAGCATGATGAATAATGTTCACCTTTATCCACCTATCATAGCTATCTTGCTACAAAACCTTGTTTGATTAAGAAGTTAGATTGCCGTTGTCTATTTACAGCATAAATGATGTAGCTTGAGGTTTAGTTGCTGACATATTTCCTCCGAAGATCTACAATAGACTTACCCCAGAAGTTCCAAGAGGTACATATACCTCACCCTCAAACTAATGACTCCCATTTGTAGTCCAGTAATGCCTTATAGCCATCTCTGTTCTCGGTTTAGTAGTTGACTTGATATTATGTGGATTATCTTTTTTATAGACAATAAAGTAGTGTGTGTCTGAGTCGCCATCATAGGAATATCTTTTATTTAAACTCACATTCCAGTCCTTTTAAATTTCATATTCATATTTAATCTCAGTCCATCCTTCATCTGGATCAACTTGCAATGCTCTAGATTGAGCAAGCAAATTTTTAAAACTAAGCTGATTTGAAAGCGTCTAGATTATTGTCAATATTGAGGCTAAGGTAATGAGTTAGATAGACTAGAACATTTTAAATTAATTATATTTCCATTTAATTACTCTTCTAATTTATTTAATTAATTTCAAAGTCTATTTTTAGAATTATAAAATAAACTTATCACCTGGGGTTTTGGGGTTTTGGGGTTTTGGGG